CCCCCCCCCCCCCTTACCCCAAGACCCTAAGAATCCTGCGGACTGAACACCTTATATAATAATGCTTCCACGTCCCTAAACACGTGACCACCATAGTGAACTGGGTCCGTCAGTGAAATAGTACCAGCTGGATACGAATCGCTGATTGGATAAACATCGATGACGTCAATACCAGCGCGGCACATAGCAGAAGTGGCATACGCATTGTAGAGCAACACGCGCTGGAAAGTTAAAAATCGACGAACGTCTTTGTGAGGATTCGGAAAACGCTCTCTGTTCAGAGCAGTAGAGGTCTTCCATATAAATCTGCCCTTAAAAATGTTTGTTGTACTTTCATTGTGAAGCTTTGGCTGTCCTTTGCCTTCAGTAACAAGTCTTATTAGATCATCGATAAGTCGTCTGTAATTTGTGAAGTTCACTGCAGCAGCAAAATGTATGCCCATGTTCATCAAAAGAACACTCTTTTCAGTCATAGCTTGATTATAAAGCGTCTAAAAGGGAAAAGTGAAATGATAGTACGTTTGAAAGAATTGTGATTTGTGAGCCGAGTATGTAGCAACAACTTGTACGAATAAATACGCAAATACGAGGAATTTCGTAGTAAAATGATATTCCCTACCAAAACATTTAAGTCAAAATTGGAAATTATTCAAACAGCTCTTAATTGCACGAAGAGTATGAGCTATTCAATGTAGAATGTAAAGTAAAGAAATTTTCAATTGAGTGGTTTCGCTTTACTTCTTTTTGCCAATAATAGGCCAAAATGCCTTGCGCCACTATCTCAACCAGTCAGATCAGATCCAAGGCTAAAACCAATCGCGGAGGATACTCAAGTTTTATCGCGCTACAAGCAATTTAATTGTTTTAATTTGAGTTCCTATTGGCTGTTGTGATTCTTTTGGTTTATTTCTGAATACAATCAACGGAAATGCGCAAACAACAAACTTGATCACGATTTCCTGTCACAGTGCCTGGGGTGGGGCTTACTTTTTTGACGTCACTTATAACTCGCTCGTGGTCGTAATCCCGTTCATCTGGTACCGGTTCCCTTGGTGATTTCACGCCATCGCCCCAGTACCCCTGCATATCATACACCCAGTGATAGACACTCTGGCAACTTCCAAAGACCACTTTACAAAGCCCACTGTATGGACCGGACGTTAGTGAGCTCATAAAAGCGTTCGAGATCGAGTCTCCGAACGAAAAGAACATTCCTTCTTTATTGCGTCTGTCTTTGTGTATGGTATCTAAAGGTTTTAGAAAAAACATAAGTTCAATATCACATACAAGATGACAGAAACAATCATCATTCGGAATAAGTAGCGTTCATTGTCAGAGCCTGCAGTGGTCTCAGTAGCAATATTCTCCCAAGAACACAACATAAAGACACGCCCAGAGCTAGAACCCAGACCTCTCGTCTAAAGATCCACCAAAGGACCTGCCATCGCCTGGGGAGGGGAGGTTGTGTCACGAAAAAATTTACCTGATTCCCACAAGGCTCTGTAATATCTTATGATCCCCCCCCCCCCGATTAGCAATTAATTGGCGCGGAAACCATCAAGTTAAGCTCACCACTTCTTCCGTGATGTCGCAGATGTTGCAGTCAGAGAGAATGAGAAAGAGGAAAGAAAAAGAGCAAACAGGTAATAATATCAATATTTTTAGTTTTATGTTTCAATACAAAGTACCTTTGATGTAAGGCTTCCATCGGCCGTTCACCCATCGACCAAAACCATCCCAGAGGAAAGTTCCACATGACGAGTCACATGTAAATTGACGGAAGCTGGAATCTTTTGTGGAAACTTTTTTCACCAAAGTTTCGACTATGGATCGAGGTAATAGTTGAATTACTTAAAACAATGATAATGAAAATCATTTTTCTTCATTAGTTTTCTCTCTGTTGATTTAATCAGAAGGCGAGATTCAACATCGAAAAACAACGCTGCAGATTTTTTTTTTTTTTTCCTCCTACCCACGTCGCAGAATTTCTAAGAAAATTAGAGAAAGCAGAGGATGGACGACTTGATTGATTTAATGTGTCAATTAATGGATTAATTGACACACACACTCTAAAAGAACTTGATCAATTCGATTTTATCCCTTCCGGAACAATGAAATAATAGGCAAACATCAAATGAGGAGAGCTCTTATCTCTTTCTACTCACTGTGACTCTGGTTGTTTTTCGATGGAGGAACAGTAAATGTCACTTTTTCTTTCCCCCGAAATGGAGCGATCAGGAATGGCCTGTCCCCCTTTAAGATGCCGTTGGGTTGGTTTTTACCTTGTGGATTACCTGAAAGAGAAAAATTTAAAAAGTAGATGACGTACTAGACTTCCGGTGCAGGAGAAAAACAAATTGGAATTGTAGAACTGGACCGCGGAACTGGAGGTGAAGAAGGTCAATTGCCGAGGCGCAGAGGCGCATTCAGGAATTCCTGACGGGTGGGGTCCAAAGTTTGGCCTAAGAAATGTTTCTCAGCACTGTAGCCTCAATAATCTAAGAAATACTGCAAGACGTGACTCGATGATACAATACGATCGAAGCGGAAATTGCACCACGCATCAAACTGTAGGAGAATTTTAAAAAAGTCACAAAAATAACCTTTATCAAGCGTAAGGTTATTTAGGGTTATTGGCTCTATTTATCAACATATCTCTTAAGTTAAGGTTTATTCATCATATAATTTATGGGACAATTTAGGGTTTAATTAAAGGGTGTTGCGTATGAATTATTCAATACTCATTTCACTTGGTGACGTACTCTAGTGATACATTTAATCATGATAATAATAAAATAAGGCTTGATAAGATCAAGCAACTTTCCTGCACTATAAGATCGTAAATAAGATGTAAGACTGTACTGTCTTAATCTTTTGGACGAACAGTAGTTCGGGGAACAATTAGTCTTTCTTTCAATTTAAACTGTGCCAAGGAAAGATATACCCTGTATTAGTGTAGCTGTCAGAGTTTTTTCAGGTGTATTATTTTCACCTTCGGATGAGAGAACCTCAGTTTGTTTTAAGCTGTAAATACCTCACACCTTACATCTCCAAGTCACAAATTCGTGAATTTGCTGAACTCATCAAAACTTGGTTCCTTTTCTTATCTTTGTCATATTTTCAAACCTTTTGTTCTCCGTTTTCGTCTTCTGGATGCAAATTCGATCACATATACTATCTATTTACTCATTGATTGACGCGTTCTTTCCTGGCCGGAGGTTCTTTTTTTATATGATCTTTTCAAAGAAAATTTTTTTTTCATTCACAAACAACTCGGGACTTCATTTGATCCAAACAGCTGAAATCACTAAACCATGCATAACAAACATCCTTATGGAACAGAAAATTGTAATTTATTCCTTTGCCTTAAATATGAGTAAGCTTTAATGTTGAAAGAGCAGAAGAGACTTGTAACGGTTGTAACACAGTTGTAAGAGGATTGACAATAAACCCTCACCCTCACCCTCACCCTCACCCTCCCCCCTTCCCTAGTTTGGAATCAACGAAATTCTGTTTGGTAACAAAACACAACAGTAAGAGACCAATTCCGGCTTAACACCACGCGTTCTGCTTCGTATCTGTTACAATAGGGACTAATCTGCGACCTAACACCTATATGTTAAAGTGAAAGAGCTCAGTGCGCAAACTAATGGCCTGACAGAGCCTCTTTAAGGTCACGAGAGCGAAGATCTTATAGAGGGTAATGTGCATAAAACAATTGGTATCCGCTTGTTACCTTTCCTAAACCAATGTGGAGGTGGGTCTTTGAAGCCATGACAGAGGCTGTAATCCAGGAATATTTTTGCTTCGTATTCACCTTCCTCGAGCATAAGAAATAAAACCTCATAGCTTCCGTTATTAAGGTCGATGACTGTTGGAGCTAAAGACGAGGGCCCATGAAGGTGAATTCTCCAAGAATCTCCCCCAATTGTCTTCAATTCATTGTTAACTGACACCGACTGAATAAAAAATCGGCTAAAGTCGCCGGACGGTTTAATATCCCATTGTGAAATATAACTCTTTTGTGGATCACTCATTTGATTGATTCCAAACCTGCTTGACGCCCCCCAAACAGTTGAATTCCAACATGGACGAAGAACATCTTTCCACTCCAAACGAGCTCGCTGCATTCGACACCAGTCATTTTGAAAATTTTCCAGCGCTTTTTCCTCAGGAAGCTTCTGCCGAAGGTTTTTGTTCGCGGCTGCCGACCCGTTGTTTTTCAAAAACAATTCGTTTGTTTCCCTACGCTCTTTAGTCTTCAGCCGCTCCGAGCGAACAGAATTAGCAGGAAGAACCTTGCCGACCAAGTTTGCCGTGGTTATCAACGATAAATTTTTCTCTGAATTTTTACTTGCGTGAAAAGCCTTCGATTCATCAGCCAAACCAAAGTTGTGAAGACCACTGAATGCAAAAATTAGGCGATCAAAAATCAAGACTAGAATCCCAAATGCTACGACAATACACAACATCAGAAAGTACTTGACAATACTTCGAGGCATGTCGAATTCTCGTCTTGATGTAAAATTCAAAGCTAAGAACGTAATGAAGGCTAGCTTAACGATGGTGCAAGTTGTCTTTTGTCTTTGAGAATAGGTGTGTTTATCACGGGTGGTGAGATTTACAGACGAACAGGTTGCTGTACTACACTACTCACCTACCAGTTCAATACTCAACCTTACGACCTTAAAAGAAGCCGTCGAATTCGGTTTTCGGTAGACCTTGCAGCCATATGATCACTCGTTAGACGATAAGTAGGCCCATCATTTATGAAAGAGAAACATGTTTCCAACTAATAGCACCTCTTTGGGGCCTAAAATTTCTTATACCTTGGGCTTCCTGAGGAAAAGGGAGCCAAAGTCTAAAATTACCCCCGCAATAGTCGTTGAATTATTATTCAATAAAATTCCATCTAGTCGACTGAAAATCCTCGAATAGATGCGTTATGGAGATGGTATTGAATTTGGGAGCGATCTTCACAGTAATGAACACTACTTAAGCAGTAGTTAAATTAACGCCTGGTAAAAAATTCAGGCCTGTACGAGATTTGAACCCATGACTTCTGCGATACCGGTGTAGTACAGTACTTCACCAACTGAGCTAACAAGGCAACTGGGAACTGGTTATTATGTTGGTTCGTAATAAACCCGCGAAGTGATGAATAAATAAATCAGGCCTGTACGGGATTTGAACCCATGAACTAACCTGGCCGTACAGGCCTGAATTTTTGTCCGGCCTGAATTTTTGTCTAGCCTAAGTTTCAGTACTGTTTAAGTAGTGTTCATTACTGCGAGGATCGCTTCCATATTAATTTCTTAATCAGCAGTTCACATATATGAATTTCATATATTCACGGAGATGGTTTTTTCAGCCAATCAAGGGATACGGATTTATATAACGCCAATGAAGTGTCCATAGGTCATCGTCATCTTTTTAAAACACTCAGAAAGGCATGGTGTGGTATGTCCACTTTTCCGATCCTTTTCATCTTCTTTTTTCCTTCCTTTTGCTGCCGAAGTAGTTTCATTTTCCTTGTCACATCACCACCATACTAGAAAGAAAAAACAATTACTGTACTTACATCAATTAGAAAAAACAAACAAGCTAATCTCAGAGGTCATAACGAAAAAATTACCATGAGCGGAAACAAGTTAAGAATTAAAACTGTTAAAAAAAATGACCCAGTTGGGCAAAAATTAACAAAAAGGTAACAAAAACATCAGAAAAAAATTATGATCTTCTCATCTGTGCAAAAATGACACAAAAAATTAAAAGGCACTAAAGACTCAAAGAAACAACCGGAGCTGAATATTAATCAAGAGTCAATACTTACGCATTTTGCAGTGACATCCTTTCTTAAGGGCTTTATTCTTGAGAAAAAGAGAAAAATAGAGGACTAATTTATCCCTGCATTGCCAACTCGGCTGGTGTATCTAAATATCATCAGGTAATGCCTTGCTTTCGGAAAGCACAACGTTACGGATCTGACTCTCTCAATAGTTATTTAAAGAACCGGAACTTACGTTTCTCTTGATGTGATTTTTCCTCTCACTGAAGCTTGAATAACAATTTCAAATAGTTGCCTGTGCCATAAAAGAAAGCATTAATTGATGATATCCAAACTTCCGATCAATACTAAATAGAATATCTGATGAGTAGTAGCGCGCTAATTCACATCTCACTTTGAATCGCTGCGACTACGATGGACACTGACAAAATTAACCAATAAAAACCCTAAACTGACATTCCGGCAGGGCGCAGAAATGTCCGATAAGGCACGTCATCCTTAACAAGCGGAAAACTGAGAGCGCACGCGCGAAAAAGCTTAAGCGTGACCGTGGTAACCATTCGGAACTCTCTGGGATCTTATCACAACAAATGTCTGACTTTAAGCACTAACCGGCTGGTATGATGAAAGAGGGCCAAAACTATGTCACCATATTCACCTGGGTATGACGTCCTTAAGTTTAGCACAAATGGACCGTCCTGATTGTAAGGCTTTGTCTTTGTGAACTATACAGCTTAGGGCGTCAACAGCATGACCGTTTATCAGGATATCCATCTGTACAAACAACCACGAAACATGTAAAAAAAATTATACCTTGAGAAAAAAGTTATGTCAATTGTAAATAAGGAATCATTGTGCCGCTAAATAGTCGACTACTTTTTAGAAAAATCTACAAAATATTAAAAAGTAAAATTTCAGCTTAGCCCTACCCGAACAACGTTTGTTTCTCTGTATCCAACATCTTCATAATCAAAGCTAAAATAAATTGAAAAGAAGAAAACCAACAATCAGTTTTCAGCCTCTTATCCCGCGGTTTTACTTTCACACTGACGAGTGCGAACCAAGAGTAACCACAGTAACAACTCTTCACAATCCAAGACAAACCTTGCATAGCCAGATGACTTGGATTTGAGATCATCGTAGAAGTCCACGATAACTTCGTTCAGCGGAAGCAAGTATTTCAGCATGACACGTGACTCGTCGATGTAAAGTACTTCTTGCTGCTCACCGCGCCTGCTCTGGAAGTAAAAAAATAAAAATAGACAAATTAGAACGACCAGGTTTTTTAAGGGAGGGCAGGGGTGGTAACCTGTGCTACTTCAACGGTAATAGCATCCCATATGGGGAGGAGAGGGGAAAATAAGACATGTTACACAATCAGTTTATCCTACACAGCTCACCTCGCAAAGACTCAACATTTTGCCCATACACTCTTCAGGGAACACAATCGTACCCATTACATAAGGCTCCAAATACGCGTGCACTTGAGAGGGCTCTGGGAGCTACAAACAAAAATGATTCAATACATGAAATTTTACCTTTCACCGAATTATTCTGGTCAAAACGTTTCAAAGACGATGTAGTAGCTAGCAGTGCTGTCAAGTTAACAGAAAAAAAGCAACAACAAGAAAACCAACAAAATGTAGTCATGAAAAAGAAAACTTACAAAGACAGACATTTTCAGTTTAGCTAGTTTGTTGTATCAAACAGCAGCTTACCTCCAAAGGGTTCAGAATCATCACCTCAACATCATCCTTTTTCAAAATTGCTGTAAAACAAAATGTGGAAAAAAAATTAAGATAAATTCAAAAGTATTTCCCTGTCCTGGTTGATCTCCAGACATGAATTATGATTAATGTACATTTACCCAATATTCTCTCTATAAGCATGTGGTAGAGGACTCACATTTAAGCTGAGATCTTGATACCAAAAATCATCTTCATTTATATTGATTTCAAGATCCACTAATGGCTATCCTGCCCCTGAATACCATTCTATCCTTCATAGTAAATAATAAACTACAGTTATGCACCTTTGTAAGGAACATTTGGAGCAGTAATGATGATACTTGCATCATATTCCTGAAATGGAAAACAATTGGAAAACTCAGTGATGGCTAAAAAATTCAGATAGGAGATGTGGCAGTCATTAAGTGAGATGTCTTCACTTCAAATTGATGGACAAATATTACAAAAAACACTTTTCTTGTGCTATCCCTTCTGGGAGGGGTTACACCCAATTAACTCAGGTGCGCCCCTATACCAGTCATACAAACCTGCTCCAACCGCTGTTTAAAGACATCCATGTGTAACAAGCCAAGAAAACCCAGACGCCATCCTTGACCCAGAGCCAGACTATAAGGTACAATAGGAAAGAGAAAAACTTTCAGCTGAATACCACATTCCATAATTGAAAAGGAGAATTTATGATCTCTATGAAGATCTCATCAGTCACAATTTTTTTTGTAATATTATATCAGGTAATAATGATATACAAGCAAATTGAACATGGGATGATCTCATGGGAACCACACAGCATGTTCATTGTATTTCTGGATAGCTTAAGAGATGGCCCTTGTTACATAACTTTTCTGTACCAAAGTATCATCTCACAAAGTTACACAAATAGCATTAGGACATTGTGCATTTAATCCTGTACACATAAAAACATGATCAAACATCAGATTTGCATGCTAAAAATACATCGAACTAGATTAACTACATCATACATCCTGTAGACAACATTTACAAAATGATTCACAAAATTGCAACTTCTATTCGTACCAACTATCTGGGTGAACTGAGACACTAGCATCATTGAGTGTGAGCTTTTCAATTGCAGATCTTAAGTAGAGATGTTCTGACTGATCTACAGGGTACACACCAGCAAACACCTACAAAGAACACAAGGAGCAAAATGAGTCTGGTGAGAAAAGTTTGCGTGAAGAGAATAACACAAGAGTTGAATGTGAAAGAATGAAAAATGTTCAGAATCAACTAACCATGGAGTTCATTGGTTTAAATCCTTGCAGTGGTTCAACAGGTGCATGAGGATGGAAAAATGTATCACCAATCTGAGCATCTTTACTGTTCCTAATTCCACAAACAACAAATCCTACTTGACCAGCAAATCTGGAAGCAGAACAAGTCAATATGAATTATGCATTTTAATTTACAGGGTACTACCCTGTTAAATAAGACAAAGCACATACAGTACATGTTATAGCAGTGAATTACATTCAGTCTTGATTAATGAGGCTCAAGGGAAAGTTTGGAAATAATTGATTCTATTTTCTTAAAAAATAATATGTCTATGTTTTCCCTCAACAGAACAAAAGCTAGTGAGGCTGTACAACTGAATGAAAAAAATCATTGTTAGATCCGAGCAGACTGAAGGAGATTATTTATGTCAGCTGTTTACAAGCATACCACTGGACAGAAACTGGCACCTCTAACTTACAAGTAGTAGGTTCAGGTTTGCAATTCTCTGGGGAAAACTTTCTCCTAAATATATAAATTGGTGTTAAAAATTAAACTTACAGAGCACCAGTAGAGATCTCCCCTGGGTGCATTATTCCAATATCCAAGACTTCATATTTCTGTTGTGTGTAGGCAGACATGACATCATCTCCTGTAGGATAAGAGATGGAAGAGAAAATGGTACATCAGCAGTTCAAGAAGTCTGTTCTGTTACAGCAGAGATTACTTTAAAAAACCACATTGTTAAAAAAATTAACAAAAATTGGACAATGTGTATAAATGAACAAAGAAAAAGTCTGATACTATTGATTATTAAGCCTCACTACAGCAGTCATTCCTCAGAGATATTTACTTCATAAATTATCTGGTATTAATTATTTTAATATTAAACATTGCCTCTAATGGTATTAAGTAAGTGATCCTACCCTTTTTCAGTGATCCATCAAGAACAGCAACAAGGCAGATCACTCCTCTGTACTGATCATACCATGAATCAAACAGAAGAGCTTTTAGGGGGGCTGACACCTCACCCTGAGGACTACAAGGACTACAATTTAATAACCTCATCTTACAGTGTTGACTGCAAGTTTTAGTTTTCAGTTTTCAAAGTCTATTGAATAAAAGCCTCAATGACAAAGTTCCTCTAGTTAATGGTTGTTGAGATACTCTTATCACAAGAAATATCTATTTTAAATTTTGTTTCAAGGGTGATCATTTGAAATTTGAAATAATTTCCTTTAGTTGTAACTCACCATGGTAATTTTTCAATAATTTCTTTCAGAACAGTGTCCACTCCAACTCCTGTTTTTGCAGAGATCTAGGGTAATACCATACATGAAAGAAAACATTAGAGAGGACTGCTGAAATGGTGCTAAGCCAGAATTTCAATTATATCTCTTTTTTATTTCCTGAGCAACAGTTTTATCCTCAGGTGTCATTTACAATACATAAAAGATTTAATATTATCTCTAACTCTGAGAGCTGATTGACAATTAACCTCTCTACTCAACTTAAAAGCATTAATCAGCAAATAGATGTTGAGAATAAAGAAGAATACTGGTGAGAAAGTGTTACCTTGAGATAATATGAAATTCTATCGGCTTAATTTTTGAGAGAATTTCTAGCAGCTCTAAGGGAGAATGATTGATGATATCTTAGGAATTGAAGAGCCTTTGAAAGTAATTGTGCTCATTATCTACATATTTGTTAACTTACTCTTAAAATCTCATTCTGTTTGACATCAAACAATTTTTCCATTTGTTTTGAGACATTGTCAGGATCAGCAGTTTTCATATCAATCTTCAAAAGAATAAAATTAGAACATTGTTTGCGACTAAATCAGGATTAAAAAGTACTGTATCTGAAAACGTTAAATCGTGACTGTGACATACAATCATGTACCTTGTTGAGTACTGGGATTATATGTAAATCCTTATCAAATGCTAGGAAAAAATTTGATACTGTCTGTGCCTGGACACCCTGCATGAATAAAAAAATAATTGGTACATTTTGTGAGAGTTCATTATCAATAACAATAGATTCATATACATGTACATACTCAAGAAGCTTGCAATGGCAAAATATCAGCAAACAATTCTATGCAACTTGGTTTCCCTACACTACACCCTTGAAATTAGATGAAGCCCACTTTGAAGAATTATTTCAATCAAAGTATTTTGCATCAATAGATAGCATTATTTGACATGGAAGTTGAATGATTGTTGATGAGTATACCATTTTCCGTTTAAAACTGATCTCTAATGAAGCCTACAGACCAATTTTTTTTTATAAACACACACAACATCTTTTCATGTGGACCTAACAGAGACAGCATGTGTATTTGTGTGTTTCTTGAGCCATTTAGACATCGCAGTATTCACTCTCACTTTCAACACCTGGACTTCCAACAAATCAGCCTTCACTAGAAGTAACCATTGAGTCATTTAACTTGTTCTATGCAAATTAACACCCATAGGACTCAAGCAAGCCTGTTCGGTCTTGATGGCCACTTGTGACTCACACCACACAACAGCATATTTGAAACTCAGGCCTCCTACAGAGCACCTAAGTAATAAGAAAGATGCTTCATGTAACAAGGAAAGATGAGGTACTGTACCTGAGCTGAGTCAACCAGTAAAATAACACCCTGACAAGCAGCTAAAGATCTGGACACTTCATAGCTAAAATCCACATGTCCCTAAAACAGGAAGAAATTATTCACTAATTTGATCTTGTTACACTAACAAGCCTAATATCTGACATAGTGGTTTATTATCAAAGTCAATCTATGTACACGTATTTACACTCACTGGTGTATCAACAAGGTTTAACAAGTATGTTTCTCCTTCATAATCAAAAATTAATGACGCAGTCTGAGCTTTAACTGTTATTCCTCTCTCCCTCTCCACTTGAAGTTTATCCAGCACTTGCTTATTGACATTGTCTTTTGAAATTGTACCTGATTTCAAAACAAAAAGTTCATTTTCAATAATAATAAGAATAAACAAAGGAAGAGATTATGACTTTCTCCCAGTGACCATTCAGGATATTTGGCAGCGAAACTATTCTTGGTAAATTGCACTTACTTCATGAATGTCACATGAAAACGGCAATAGACTTTACCCAGAAATAAAATGCACAAGTATATCCTAGTTATTATTTTTCAAGTTATTATGCTCAATGTTTTCGCTTCAAGATAATTATCCCTTAGCGCTCGGAAAGTTAATCTGCAAAGATCTCGCAAGCTCAACCACAACTGTTTTAAATTAATTTTTAGTGCTTCGTTTGGTTTAAGCTATCCACTTTTTAGGACTTTTGGTCAACCGTTTAATGTTTTGAGCCAACTGTTTTTATTTTTGGTCAACCATTTAGCACTGTTTTAGCTATCCGGTTTGGGACTTTGGTAAACCATTTAACGTTTCATGCAATCCGTTTCTATTTTTGGTCAACCATTTGAAGGCCTAAGCTATTCATTTTTGGACTTTGGTCAACCGTTTAAATTTTTTGTCATCCGTTTAGGCGGTTATGGAAACCATTTAAACACTTGAGTTGGCTGTTTAGTATCCATTTAAAACCTTTTTTCTAAGCTGTTTAACGGACAAGTGTTAGTGTCCGTTTTCCCATGGAGAGTCCCATATCAAGATGTTTTTCTGTTAAACTCAGAGAACCACACAAAGCTGAAATATGTCTGGAATGCATCTTGCAAATGACCAATCATATGGAGATCACAATGTACACAAACCAGACACAAATTTGTGCTATTGTTAGGATTCCTCATGCAGAATGAGCTCATAAGATATTTCCAGCATTCATAGTTTTCTGACTTTTAAAGTAATATACAACACAAAACACTTATTGCATGCATGTAGTCTGAATATTTACAATACACTTGTTACTTACCAGTCATTTCAAGAAGTCTGTCAGCTAAAGTACTTTTTCCATGGTCAATATGAGCAATAATGCTAAAATTTTTAATTCTTGACACTGGAAACATAGACATATCAATTGTATCCTAACAAGAAAATTACAAAAGATATCACATATCATAACTTCTAAGAGATCTGATTTGAAATGGCTTCAGTAAATCAAACCTACGACACAAATTCGAAGAGATCCTTTTCTTACCTGGGTAGGCATTCCATGGCTTGTTGACTGACTGCAGATTCTTCGAAATTGACTCCATGTAATGCCACTAAAAGATTATTGAAAACATCCTTTAACCATTCAACTGTGGATAAGCTATTCAACAGTGAGAAACCAACATTTACATGAAACAGAGGATTCAGAGGATACACTTTTACCATCGTCATCTTACTTTCTGTTCTGAAGTGTTTCCTTTACAAGAAAATTGTGCCGAAGGTTGCACCATGTTCTTTTAGTGAGAAACTCTGTGACCTTGCAATAACCAAATGACGTGAAACATCTCCTCAAAAATAGCGATTTTGCGAGTAATTTTCCGGTTATAGGACTTCCCTGCCTAAAAAGTTTCTCAGCAATACTCATTTTGATTACATCAATTATCCTTTTTATCTTTTCCAAGTTCACAGTTTACCCATTCAAAATATCATGAGTTTCGCTAGCTCGCTCTATAGATTGGTCCGCCATTTTTGTTTATCTTGGATTTCCGCTGACTTTATTTGAGCCCATGATAGCAAATTATGCTATTTGATTGGCCTTTGATTGATTTAAATCGACGAAGCAGCCAATCACAGCCTTAGCATTTGGATCCCAAGTCGTCTCCAGCGAAATTTGAAATTTACCCCTCGTAAACATTCTCGATCTGCACTCAAAGCCGTATTTTTGCAATCATGGATAACGAAATATATTTTCTCAAAGAGGAAATAATCCGTTTAAAAGAAGAAAACGAAAGCTTGCAGCAGGATGGACAATTGGCAGGAGAGATTGGGAAGAATTTGCTCGAAAATAACCAGGAATTGGAAAGAAAACTTGAAGAAGTGAACAACGACTACATAACAACGTTAGGGAATCTTGAGGTACGCTGTAATATTCATTCCTGTAAGCACTTAGTTTGAAGAAAAATGTTCTCTATGAATTTATTTTCTTCATAGGAACTAAAGCAAGAGAATTATTCTTTGCGATCCAGACTTGAGACAGAAGTTCGAACCAACTCAAACCATGCCCATGAATTGGACGACTTGAAGGTAAAGCTTCAAAAGGAATTCGAAGCGAAAGAAAAATCTCAACAGATGACAACAGAAAAAAAGATCTGTGAACTGAGAAAAGAAATAGAATCTCTGCAAAACGATATCAGCAAGCACACGCTGGTAGAAATTCAGCTGCAAGAAAAGATTAAGAAGCAGGATGAGATGCTACAAGCTGCTCGCCGAAGCAGCGAAGAACTGCAACACAAAGGACGATCACGATTAGAGAGTATTGAAGAGTACATCCATTTAGCCTCCGAGCTCTCAGAAGAGAGGGATGCTTTGACCATGAAGCTGGCTGATTTGAAAGATAGTCAGGAGAGAATTTTATTCGACAGAAACGTACTGAAGGAAAGAGTTGAGCATCTTGAGGAAGAACTCCAAGAGAAGGCTCGACAAGGGCAAACCTGGTTTAACTGTTTACAGGTAAGACAATTTATAGGTCTAGGGTGAAACCAACCACTCGACAGAACACTTTCGCGGGGGGGGGGGGGGGGGGGGG